CCTGTGCACGTATGAGATGCTCGCTGTACTCACACTGACTTTGCTGTCCCCCCCCCCAGCTATGCACCCCCTCTGCAGCCCCAAGGAGACCTGAGTCTCACCCAGGGTTGTACCCTCTGAGATCAGGGAAGGACCCAGACATGTTCACCACAGCACGGCTGGGCTCAGGGAGCACCAAGCACTGTGGCAATCCCCAAAACACACATGCCCTCCAGCTTGCTTCCCACTGTGTGCCCCAGCTGTGGCCTGCGGACAGGTCCCGTGCACCTCCACAGGCAGCTACAGAGGAAACAGGATGGGAAAAGCTCCACTTGGACTGAGCAGTGCTTTTGTTACCATTATAAACTTCCCTTTTAATGAGGAAGGAGGCTCTGAAACACAGTCCCTGCTAAACACCCAACTGGGGGACCCCACCAGCAGCCTCAGCGATGGAGGGAGGGAGCAGAGCACTCATCCACCCTACCATCTCTGGTGCCAGCTGCATGCTGCGGCCTCTTTGCTCTCTGAACACCCACTCACAGCCACCCTGCTCTCCTGACGCAGCCGAACCGGCTTGCTCAGGGTCAGGGAGCCCTTTATCAGCACTGAAATGCAGCCTGCGGCAGGATACGGGAGATAAGGCATGTGGGATGAGCATCCCGCCTGGGCAAGGGATTGTGTTGGGTTCCTGGTCTCCCAGGAGCAGCCAAGAGACCAGTGGGCTGGGAACAGGGATGTAGGGGCTCCTCGCGGAGTGTCGATCCCCAGAAACTCCTCCTGCCCATGCCTTGCATCCCACCACCGTCTTTGGGGCAAAGGGGGCTGCGGGCCCGGGGAGCAGAGCCCAGCCCCTGCTGATGAACGTGGCTTTGTTTGCAAGTGCTCCCGCTGCTGGCCCAGCAGAAGGGCCGATGGCCGCTGACGCAAGAGCCCAAGGTGATTGCTCTCTCTTTCCCCTGCCATGACTCCAGCTGCCAACCACCTCCTCCCCGGTGCGAGGAGGGAAGGGGAAGACTGGAGGAGAAGGGTCCTGGGGTGGAAGCAGGGGCTGGTCCCATGGGGTGGGATGTGGGAGGATGGTACTGGAGGGAAAGGCAAGCCCAGAAATAGCAAACACGGTTACACAAGGCACTGGTTGCCATGGGATCTTCACACCAAAACTGCCGGCGCTCTGGCAAGCACAAGAACGGCCCTTTCATGTGTTTCTAGGGGAAGTCAGCACCGGGCTGGAGCCTTTCCCAGCGCAGGGAGGATTTTGGGACCCTGGCTGTGGCACCAGCTTTGTGCAAGGCAGCAGCGAGACCCCTGGTGATGTCCCAGGCAGACCCTTGCTTGCGTCCAGGATGCTTTTTCCTGGGGCCAGTATCAGAGCACCACTTGGCACCGCCTCAGAAGCCAACCCGAGTGACAGCACAGCCATGAGTGGGTTCAGCAACAACCAACTTCTGCTTAGTTGAAGGATGGGGAAGACCCCTTGGGGACCCCACAGCCACGTTCTTCCTCCTGCCTGCCCGGCTCCACCATCCCTCATCTGCTGCAGAAATCCCCCTCACCTGGCACTTACAGTCCCCCAGCCCCTTCACCCACCCCCTCAAGGTTAGACAGGCAGAGGCAGACCCTCAGCAGCACGTACTGTTTATATGAGGGTTGTTTCCACAGGGCTGCTCCCATGCCAGAGCTGCCATGTTGGCAGAAGCCGTTACCATCCATCCCTGCATAGAGCACAGCCCGGCCCTGCACTGTCCCTGCTGGAATTCTCCCCCCGGAGAGATCTTATTAGCTAATTCCTTTGCTATTTATAAATCAATATGGAAATCCCTCTGCTTTATTCCCAGCTCCACAGGTTGCCCTGGCTGGGGCCCTGATAACTCAGTTAAAACTCTCAAGCAGATGATCAGAGGCTCGAGATTGGCTCTAGATAAAGGAATAAATAATTGCATTAAGTCTTTGTTAAGGGCTGGGGGATACGACGGGTGCCAGTGGCAGGGCAAGGGGCAGGAGGCTGCAGACCCAACCCCATGGCACAGGGGCTGTGTTTGCTGCAGTCTTTCAGCCCTTAACGCCTACTAAATTACTAATGAGCACACAGGCTAAGTAGGTCTGGGAAGTGGAAAATAATATCCACAAAGATCTTGGATCCTGGGGGTCTTTCAGGTAGGAGCAGGGCAGACAGATCTGTCTGCCTACCCATCTGCTAGAGGAGCAGACAGAGCCCTAATCTGCCCATCCACTGCACCCTGCAAAGCACCATCACTTCCCTATTCAGCCACAGCTTCGGGAGCCAGTGGAGATCCCACATGGAGCATCCTCTGCTCTGCTCCAGTTCCCTGTACAGTGCCTGGGGATGGACCAGCCCAAACTGCATGTGATGGACCCCATGGCAAGAGGTGGCTCTTCCACTGTGTGGGTTTGGGTTGGTTTTTAGTTTATGGTGTTGCCACAGCATGTGCTCTGTGCCATCAACATCCCTGCGACACACAGAAGAGGAAAACAGCCTCTTCCCAGGCTGAGAGCTGGAACAACCGGGTCTATCTGGGGAAATCCATGCTCACCCCGCAGAGCTCCGGGGCTTGTCCACACCAAGCACCACTGAGCCCTCCTGGTGCTGCTGCCACCGGCATGGCAGGGTAGACATCTGTAGCAGAGCCAGGCCTTGGAAGAGGAGAAGCACTTGGGAACGCATAGGGGAAGGTCTCTATTTATAAACACAACCCTTACACAGCGCTGCAGAAGAGGGTTTTAATTAAAAGCTGGGGTAAAGAGATGTGGCAACTGGGGACTCCTCGGAGGTAAAAGCCACAAGAAAACCATGGGTGAGGTTTCCTGCACCACCTCAGATGGGGACAGGGGCCACCACCACCCCAGCGAGTCTGCATCTTGACTGATCATGCTGAAGTTCGCCCTTCAGAGCCATCGCATCTGCCTGCCCTCATTCCAGTGCTGCTCAACGATTGCTGTGGCAGGGAGCGTGGGTGTGAAGTGCTTTCTCCCCTCCAGCAAAACGTGGAAGAGACCTGGGCTCTGCAAAGGGCTGGTGGATGGGAGGCCCCAACCCCATAGATCTCCTCTCAAATAAGGAAGCTCAGCCACTCATCCAGCCCATCACTGAAGAAAACATCCTTCCCAGCAAGGAGCACTAGGGCTGCCACTGGCACCCCAAAGGCTTCATCCCCAGAGTCCCCAGCTCCAGTACCTGCAGTGGGGACGGTGCAGGAGGGTCTTGAGGTCGTCACATGGATGGACAGGCTTGGGTGGGTGAAAGCTGGTGATCTCTCTGGATGCCAGATGTTTTGGTGCAGTGGTGGGGCAGCATGGTGGGGTGGGATGAGATGGACGGATTGGGACAGGATGCAATGGGGTAGGGTGGGATGGAACAGCAGCATGAAGACTCCTTGCATTGCAGCAAAGAGCCAGGACAGAATGAACCTTAGCAGAAAGACAGAAAGTCACACCCAGAGAGTGGGAAGAAAAGCCCAGATGCCACCAGAGAGCTGCTGGGGTAGAGGGAAGGATTCACCAGCTGTGGCTCTGCTGGGTTTTGCTCCCCAGCAGGTAATGGTTGGGAACATTGGCCCAGAGCTGACCCCCAGGAACAAGTGGCAGAAGACAAAGCGTGTTTACTGACCAACCCAATACACTATCTTGGACCATTTATGTTCCCAAAGCAAACAGCAAGGCACTTGCTTCCAAACAGGGCACGTCCTCTGTGGGTCTTCTGCAGCCGCGCCGGCTGCTCGGGCAGCTCCATCTTGCTGATGGCCAAAGCCATTCAAGGGCTTTATCAACTGGCAACTGAAAGTCAATAAGGAAAATGCTGCCTGGTTTAATTAACAGAGAAACCTTGCTCTAACGAGGGTGAGATGATGTCTGCCGGGGGGAGGAGGGAGGACAGAGACAAAACATGACCTTGTTGGTGGAACACACACAGCACCACATTGTTTTCCCCGAGGAGATGATGGCCTTGATGCTGCACAGGCTCGGTGGGTGCTGGGGTCCTGCCTACCCCATGGCAGGGTTGGGCATGGGATACATGGTGCCTTGATGGCACTGGGGCTGTGGGGCTCATGACCTGGCACTCGGGAGCTGCAGCTCTGGGAGGATGTGGCTGGCCAGGGAGCGCCAGTGGCTTGGGCAAGCACAAAGGAGTTTTGATTTTGGGACCCCCCCCCCCAGTGAAATCAGCTGTGCCTGGGCGGGAAGGGACCCCTATGAGTGAGTACCCCATGGCCACTGCTGGCTCCGGGCAGCAGCAAGGCTGTGGCCAGTGGCCATGGCAGCATGGGAAGCTTGCCAGTGTTAGTGTCCACTTTGGTTTAGTTCCATTTTCCTTTCTCCTGAACTCTCCTTTTCCAGAAAAGCAGAGAGGAGAAAGACCCAGAGGTGAAAAAACACCCTAATGATCTGCATGTCGGGGTTCCCTGCAAGGGGGGAGCTGAGGTGTGACCCATAGCACAACCTGTCCCCTGCAGCAAGACCCATTAGGATCTGATGGGGCTGGAGTGAGTAGTACCTCAGGGAAAGTGGTACCCCAGGGTGACAAGGCTGAGGCAGGCTGCACCAGGACACTGTCCTGGGGGTAATTGGGATCGGATGAGTGGCATCATGGGACGCTCCTATGGGTGTCTGGGATTTGGGGAGCAGCACCCCAGGGGTGTAAGGGCTGGCAGCAGAGGAATCCCAGGGGTGTCAGCGTCAGGATGAGCAGCACTGTAGGGTTGCCGGGACTGGGGACGACAGGGATGGAGAAACACCCCAGAAAAGTCGGGGCTGGCGACAGAGGCACCCCAGGGGTGTCGCAGCCATGGGGAACAGCGCCCGCTCCCGTTGCCCACCGCCTTGCAGCAGCCCCGTCCCACCGGGGCTGTCCCGTCCCCTGGGGTCGCACAGCGGCCAATCCCCCAGCTCGTCCCCGGCGGAACGGTGGCTTCATCCCCATCCCCATCCCCGTCCCCGTCCCCGTCCCCGTTCCCCGCCCCCGGGGCGGGCTCGTCATCGTCCCGCCCCCGCCCCGCGCCTTATTGCCGGGGCGGCTGGGGGCTGCTTCACTCCTTCTCGGCGCCGCTCGCCCGCCGTGGCGCGGTCCGCCCGACGTGCCGCACTATGGGCAGCCAGGGCTCCAAGGCGGGGGGCAGCGCCCCACCGGTCGGTCACGCCGCCTCCACCGACCCGGCCAAGGCAAACGGGCAGGTAGGTACCGAGCGGGGGAGGACCCCGGAGACCCCGCCGGGGCTGGCGGGCGGGCGCGCAGACAAAGGCGGCCACAGCGGCCGCTCGGCGGGGAAGGGGCGGCGGTGACGGCCCCGGGGGCCCCTCCTGCCCGGCGGGTACCGAGCGATGAGGCTTCGCCCGCGCCGCGCCCCCGGCTCCCTCCCGGTAGCGGGTGGGGACCTGCCCGGTGCCTCGCCCTGGGACGGGGCGTGGAGCGCGGGCGCCGCCCGGTGGCAGCGCATTGACACCCGGCCCCCGTGTCCGATGAGTGCGGCCCGGCCTCCCCTCCTGGCTCCAGGTGCCCGGCGGGGTGCGGGGCTGTGTCGGGGAGGGAGCGGGGTGCGGTGTTGCCGGGTCCCCGCCGTGCCTGATGTGGTTCTCTAATCCCCCCTCTTCCCCCTCAGGAAAACGGCCATTTGAGGGTGAACGGGGACACGACGGCCCGGGCGGGCGGTGAAGCTGCGGTCCCGAACGGGAACGGCTCCTCCGAGCCCCTCGAGTGCAGCGGGGACGCCATCGAGCCTGTTCCCCCAGCCGAGGCGGGGGATGCTCAGCCCGAGGGGGCCGCGGCCGCCCCCCGGGACACCCCCAAGAAGAAGAAGAAGTTCTCGTTCAAGAAATCCTTCAAGCTGAGCGGGATCTCCTTCAGGAGGAACAAGAAGGAAGCCGGGGACTCCGCGGGCTCCACGCCCTCGGAGGAGCAAGGCCCGGCCGGGGAGAGTCCCGGCAGCGCGGCCGACGGGACGGAGCCCGCGGCTGCCTCCGGCGAAGCGGCGGCGCGGGGCGGACCCGCGGCGGGCACCGAGCCCGGCGGAAGCGGGGAGGAGAAGCAGCAGCAGCCGGGGGAGCTCCCCGGGGCCACAGCCGAGCCAGGGGAACCCTCAAAACCTGCGGGGCCTGAGCCTACAGCAACCGCGGCGGAGCAGGAGGAGGAGTAGATGCCGCTTGGAATGTCCCAACCCCGGGAGTGTCACGGACTCGCTGCCTTCCCCCCACACCTCCGTCCCACCCAAACTGACGCGGCTTTCCAAAACCAACCCCCTCCCAGAGTGATTCTTTCCCATCTCCATTAGAGAGCTGGCCGCCACTGCAACTTGGAGTAGTTCTACCTGAATCCTTCACGCTGGTGGAGGGAGATTATCCTGGACGTAACTGGAACTTACAGTTTGTGATCGCTGCCGGCTCCTGGCTGTCCTCGAAGCCTAAACTGTTCAATGGATCGTTTTCTTCTCTCTTTCAGTTTACATTCCTGGTTCTGACTTTAAATGAAAATATTTTGTGCTTTTTTCCCCCTAGAAATCAATGGGTTAAGAGCTAACCTTGTTAGGTTTCTATAATGGCTTACTCTTGGCTTAAAACCATAAAGCTTGTAAGTCCCCTGTGTTTAATTCTACTCTAGTGGTGTGGGGTGGACAGGCAGGGACCTGCAGCTGTAAACTGTGAAGCACGTTGGGGTTCTCTGTAAATAATTACTTTTTTTTTAATGGCCAAAACACTTGATTTGCAATTTTCTAAAAAGAAAGGGAAAAAAAAAAAAAAGCTGTATGGGCTTTCTTGTAACATTTGAAAGGAATAAATGGTGACCCCTTCATGGGTGAGCTCGAGTCCTCCTTGTCCTGGCTGAGGATGGTCCCAGTTGCTTATTTAGTTCACCAGCTGCTGCATTTGATCACTCCAGCCCCATTAATTGACTTGCAGCAGATGTAGAGCTGCAGCCACAAGGGGCTTTCTCACATGAGCCTCTTGTCACTGCTTTGGGCTCAGGGTTGAACTGGCTGCTCTGTATCTGTGTTCTTTGGGATCTGGTAGGGTGGAAAGAAAAAGCTTTTCCTGATAAAGAGGGGCCCAGGATGGCTGCTGGGTGAAATTCCCATTTTAAGTTTGCTTTCTTTAATTCTAAATATTCTTTAGACTGTGATTAACTCCTCTTCCCTGAAGACAGCTTAGAGTACAAGAGCCATGTGCTGGGAGCAAAGATTTACTTGCAAAGAGAAAATGGGTGCTGTTATCACTTGTCCCATTGATCTGCATAGGGACAGAGGTGATGCTTCCCAAGCAGGCAGTAGTACAGACCTTGAAGGCTGTGGCCTCGCCTTAGAGCTGCAGCAGCAGCCCTTCCATTTAATGGTCTGCTCCTAATTCCTATGTAACTCCTGGTATTTGGGCTGGCAAAAGAGAGAGAAAGGCAAGGACCCTTGTTTGCCCAATGGGATGGTGGGGCCTGGGATGAGGACTGCCTTCTGTAGCCCTGGAGTAGCTGGAAATAGCCAAAACTCTTGGGTTTACATATCCCATCCTGCTATCAACAGCTAAAGCGAGTGACCTGATTCCAAATGCAGCCTGATGTTCATCCGTAGTTATCTGGAGGGGCAAAAAAATGGGTATTTTAAATGTAGTCACAGGTCTGCAACTGATTTCCAGGATTGCTGGGGGTCTGTGGTGGGAGATGGAACTGCAGCGAGCCCCAGTGGAATGCAGGGCTCAGCCCACCCCAGTGCAGCAGCCTAGCAGCCATTTTAGGAGACACTGGTCAGAAGAGGGCTGTGGATGCACATGGGGGAGCGTGAGCTGGGCAGGAGTCACCTCAGTAGGGCGCTTGGTTTTGTTCAAGGATGAGAAGATTTCAATTGTCTGCTGTGGTGAAGGGGATAACAGAGTTTCCTGGAGCAGTATTCCAGCAAGGGAAGTCAACTGCACCATACGAAGCTTTGTTTTTCTGACAGCAAAACCAGAATTACAATCCTTTGCTTATGAAGCTTGAGTCTTTTGGGCCCCTTTCAGGTGTGATGCCTGTTACAGAATTATCCCGCTCTTACTTACATTAAATAAATTTTTTACACTTGAATACCAGATAAAACCCACTCAAGTTCATCCAGAAGATGCTCCCTTCCCATACCATATTCCTTTTCTGGGTCAGCATTGCTTTCAGAGCATCTACTGCATGAAGGACCAACCCCAAACACACCACAGACCCAGTGCTGATGGATAAGAACCCAGCTGTAATTAAGGAGACAAATAACCCCCATGACCCTTAGGAAAGTTGTGAGCACACAGACCCTGTGATGTTTTGACTTGCTTTTTGTGGAGAGAATGGGCATGAGGAAAATTTCAAGGCTATTCTGTAAAGCACAGGGGAAAAGAAAAAACAAACCACAAAACCCCCAAACATCAACCAAAGAAGATGAGGCCACCTTTCACCTGCAGCATGGAATGTGCACCAAATATAATGTTTTGGTGAATGGCATTTAAACCTACACATCCAACCCTCTTCCTGAAAGAGGGAAAGCATTCCTGCCTCACCTCATCTTTCTTTCCAGAGCTTTGTTACAGCTGCTGTGTTTTGTGCCTTGGTTCTACATTATACTTCATTATCATGACCAAGCTACTGCTCCATTTTCCAGAAATGTCTCTGAGAACAAACTAAACCCCAGCTCTTAAGCATTTCCTCTCAGCAGAAAGCAGCACAAACTCACACCACCCATAGAAATGTACCAGTTTTATTACAAAGATTCTCAAAATTCAAAATAAAAGCATCTTTAAAAAACCACACTATATCCCCCCCCAACCCCAAGGTACACTGATCTCTCTCACTTCACATACAAACACTGAATAGCTGGAGTGAGGTGTCACTCGGATTCAAAAAGAGACTTAAAAACTCATGGTGGAAAAGGGAAAGAAAGTATTTAAAAAAATAAAACATTTAAAAAACCTGTGTGAAGTTAGCAGCATTATTAGAGTTGAAACCGTCAGCAGCGCTCCGTGGGAGGTACAGATCCTCTTAGGGCCAGAGGAATCCCCCTGAGGAAGGAGAGCAGCGAGTCAAAACTGCCTGCAAAACTTCAGCAAAGTATTTCCCCAGAAGCTTATCTAACGATCTGCTGTACACAACGAGATGCAAAAGAAAGGCCAGTTCTGGTCACAAAAAAGACCTCTTCGTGTGAGATAATGTGTGGGAGCAGGAAGAGGAGTAGTCATAAAAACTTACAGAATCCCATCTGCTGTTCCCTGATAAAGGTAACAGCTTGGGAGGCTGGTAAGAAGGGTCTCCTTGCTTACTGGCCTTGAGAGCAAGACAGAGGAAAGGTTTGGTTTGATAATGTTTGTAACTTCAGTTCAGAGAAGAGATTTTCGCTGACTGACACACATCAACAAAAGATGTCAGCCAAGTTCTGTTCATGAATGGTGGTTTCAGGGTCAGGACATGGCTCAGTACTGAGGAAAGCACACGACAGCACATGCAGCATGGGCTGAACAACCAGGGAAAGCAAAGCAGGCAGCCAAATGGGCAGTAACTCACTCCCCTCCCCAAAGAGGGGCGTAGGTATAGAAAAAAGGTATAAAAGTTTCATCCCTTCTCTTACTTGAAATGCAGAATGCAACACCAACTGGATCTGCAAGAGTTTGGAAAGTGTTAACCACCACATGAGGGTGATTTTCAGTTTGCTTTTTCCACATCCTACACCCTCAGGGCTCTGAGGCTGGTTCACTTTTCAGATTACTTTTAAGCTGCTTTGTCTCTTTCTGCAAGTTTGCTGCAGGGAGGTAGCCAACTCTATTCAAGAACTGCACTATATGACCCTGAGAAGTGGCACCAGCTTGCAGTTACTTGCTATAATGGAATCAAATTGAAAACCAAAGAAATAATTAGTCTCTCACAGGCTTCATTCAGGAACTTGGATTCTCCCACAAAACAAAAAGGAAATAAAACATGAGAAAGAAAATTCATGGCCATCTCTTTCCACATAATCCGAAATGCAGATACTACCTCTATTTAAATTATTCTTTTCCAAGGGTGGTTATTTCAGAGGAAAGAGTAAAGAAAGGAAGTGATTTTTTCTTAAAGACACACTATAAGGAGGCAGTGGAAGGCAAGAGTGAAACTTCCCAGTCACCAAATCTGGGCAGTGCAGGTCTGTCTACTCCGCAAAATCCTCCCTGTCTGCTCCCAGCGGAGTGCAGTAAGGAATAATTTACAGTTCTCAAGTCATTTATATATTTATATAGAAATATATACAGAAACATATATAAAATATAAATCCTATGGAATAGGAGGCAACCAGAGAAGCTAACCTATGACAGCTACACACTGACAGTACTGTCCAGTTGCAGCCATCTCAGGTGGATTTCGCCTCTTCCTTCACCCTGTGGAAGCAAGCAGTGAAGAATTTGTTTCTAACAAGCAGCTCAAGCTTTCATAACAAGTCAGGGTTGTTTGTTTAACCCTAAAAATGCTGCTTATATGGCCCATCTTCATCTAAAACTTGTAGCATGTTACTAATGAAGGAACAGCATTTTTAAGCCACTTCCATGGAGGCTCTCACAGTGCCTTATCAGATGTGGGGTTCTACATAGGCAAATTTCTTCCCATTAAGAGCCCATGACAAAGCCACCCAAACCACCATGTCTTTCCTCCAACCCCTCAACTTGTGCAACATTCCACTGGCAGAATGAGTGGTATTTAATTGCAATGCCACGAGACGGGGCTCACCCTTTGGGTTCTGCTTTCTCCTCTTTTGCCTTTTCCTCTTCTTTCTCGTCTATGAAAAAAAACAAAAGACACACAGTAGTGCAGTAGGAATGTACATGCCAGGAAAAGTTGCAGAGCTGTGAGGGCTTCTAGTTCTAGCTCTCATCCTTACCCTTCTTCTCCTCTTCCTCCTTTTCCTCTTCTGTTTTCACACGTTTAGCTTTCTTGAAGTTGGCAACGTTTTTGCGCCCTCCTTCCCCTTCATCTTCAGAGTCAGAGAATTCTTCATCACATGATATTCTCTTATCAGAATTGCGAACTGAGGATGAAGGGGACAAGGAGTTGTTTCAGGAGATTTAGAAGTCAGGAGAGACCAAGCACTAACTTCTCCAAGTGCATTTACACAATGGAATGAACTACCAAGCCTATGTAAGTCAGAACCAGGCCATGATAAAGACTTTATCTTTCTATGTGCTGTATCTTTTAGCTCATCACTCCAACTACTCACGCCCAAGACGCCAGATCACATGTATGACTTGGAATAGTCATACCACTTGGAATAGCTACAGTATGATGTCTAGACTTGACAGTGTAAGAAGGTTAATCAGCCTCACACTGAGAAAATCTGCCTGCCATATCTAAAGGCCATCAGCCAATCTGGATATAAACTGCCATTTTCACTGTAGAAGACAACTTGTGGGATCCATCCTGACAGTCTCTCAGAAAGCATCCTGTCATAGCACAGGAACTGTTTAAATTCTCATATGAAAGCCTAGGTTCTTTCATTATGGAAATCATCTGCCAACAGTGCTACTTCTCCAAAGGCAAACCCCCCCCCCCCCATGAATCTATCAGCCCTGCAGTGTTGAGCATCATCACTTTATCTTACAACATCAATTGGAAAGATTCCAGCTGAAGGACTGCAGAATCAAGCTGTATCTAAATCATAGCTCCCATAGCTCTTTATGAAGGTAACTCAGTCTGGAGCCTGCATGCTTCTCCAGCTAACACATCCTGCCCAGCTTTGGCACCCACAGGCTCTGTAACAGTACACTGCCCAGCCGGGCAACATAACCACACCAGAGACAAGCACGTACTTGAAATGCGTTTCTCAGGATCTTCTTCCTCTTCATCCCCACTGTCTTCCTGAACAGCATCCTCAGGAATTGGCTGCATCTGGACACCAGGGGCATGAGGCAGCATGCGCAGATTCTCAAAGAGACGTTGCCTAGAGCCAGCCAGGAAAGGAACACCTCCGTCAGCAAGATGCTATCCACGGCTGTGAAGCCCTCAGTGGAAGGTGTCAGTCTCACGAAGAGGAGCAAACACTTACTTGATCTTCTCGAGATACTCATTGGTATTCTGGTTAGTCATGTTTGAGGGACTGATGTGGAGCTTAAAGTCTGGTCCAAAGTACTCAAAATAGTCATTATACGGAAGTTCTGCAAGCAAGTTAAAAAGGAATAAACACCAAATTACCACTGAACTGGTGATGAAATACAACAAACACTTTATACTTCTAAAAAAAAAACACAACTGCATTTACCTGGGCATAGGAGCCAAAGCTCTCCTAGCCCAAATTCAGATCAAAACAGACAACTTGGCAACAGTGCAGTCAAAGCTTACTTGGCAATTAAACACTATCAGTGCACACCTAAGTTTTCAGTACAAGGTCATCTCGTTTCAGTAAGTTGGCAAGGCTGCTGGGTACCTTTTGCTGGAAGGGGAGAGCTACAGGACTAGAATGCAAACAAGAAGAGCTACTGCAAATGAAGGCAACCAAAAGCTCCTCCGAAGTCATAATCAAGAGCTAATGAAACATCTCAGGGTTGCTACCACTCCCACAGCAACATCACTCTCCTGTGCTCTGTTACTAGAGTGTCCCTTAGTCCTTCAGCCTTTCTTCAAAGGGGAGAATTACCATTGGGAATTTCCGTGTCCAAAGCCACAGCAGTCTCATAGGTCCAGCATCTAGCCACATTGCGGATTGTGTAGCCACCTCCTCCCAGCATCAGCATAGGCAAATTAAAACTTTTTACAAACTCCACACACTTGGCATGACCTACAGAGCAAAAGCAGCAGGGGAAAGTGAGGTCACAGCCTCATGGCATAAGAACAGCAAACTTTTCAATGAAATCTCATTTTATCAGTTATGTCCATCCAAAACAGGTACTGTACAGTACTCTTACCTTTGATGGTCAGATTAAAACACCCCAGCCTGTCCCCTGACAGAGAATCTGACCCGCACTGCAAGACAACTGCGCTAGGCTGGAACGTCTCCATCACTTTAGATATAACCTAAACAAGAAACTTATTGTTACACACTCTTCACAGGACAGTGTCACAGCAACACAGTAATATCCATGTCAGCAAGTGACATGAAAACATCCCTAGTGCTCCCACAGCTGCTGACTCCCCTGTATTGGTAATACTGAGGCTCTTACGAGGAGATGCTTACTGCTGACAGGCTGCAATTGTTAGGGAGGAATATAGACTGAATCAATCTCCCGAGAAAATGGCTTAATGAGCTACCCAATGACAAAGTATGAACCACAAGGAATCACTCAGCAAAGTGAGTGATATATTCAAATTTACCGGCTTGAATATTGCTTCATAGGACTCATCATCGATTCCGTCCCGGAGGGGATAGTTGACAGCGTAGTACTTGCCTTTGCCTGCACCAATATCCTATTAAAGTGGAAGACAGGAGACACCACAAGTCACCAGAGAACCAACTGCAACACAGAAATTGTTCTCCAAATTAGGAAGGAAAGCCTGGGATTCCATCAGTGTAATCTGAATGTAAACCCAGGATTTGCCTCATGGACAAACACTGTCCTGGCAGAAGGCAGCAGGAGGCAGTTGACTCCAACCACAGCTTATTGGCAGAAGTGGGTGCACTAGCCCTCAATGTTCAGTGAAGAAAAATCTGCTATTACGTGTTGCTCTGAGCACACAGGCTCTCATTTCCCCTGGCAAAGGCACTTTCTTACATAGCAATAAAACTGGCAGCCAGATCTCTCGCTCCAAACCTGTACACTGCAGAGATGTGCAGCCCAAAATACCAGTCTGGGCTAACTGTGCAGCCTAGTAACTGAGGGAATCTATATTTAAGACTATATATATACATATATATATATTTACATTCCCATTATCATTCTCATAACCAAGTGTTTTATTAAAAATAAGGGTTTAATTTATGGTGCACAGTTGCACCAGGATGCACCAGGAAAGAATCTTGCAGATGCATGCAGCTTGGCATTACCATGGACAAACTCTAAGCAGGCTGAAAAAGTACAACTCAAGTGGAAGAGAAAAGAATTTAAATCAGAAAAAAGCATATGAAGAAAAGTAAAGAACCTTTCACTCCCAAGAACAGCATTCTGGCAATGTCACAAAATGAACCACACCTGCATCTAAACCAAAGAAGTGCCATGTTTAACACCACAATTCGTGAACCTGCAGAACTGACTCATGGGAGGAAATGCCAACAAGATAAACCAACACAGGCGGAAGTGCTTCCTCATAAACCTTCATCCCAAAGCTTGCATGACCAAGCTTAGTTTCCAGGTAGCTACATAGGACCAACATGCCATCTTCAGAGTCACTTTTCTGAGCATAATCCCACTGGAAGGCCACCAAGAGACTGACTGCAAAGCCTTGGGTTTATTACTATATGGGCCATGATTACAGGGATAAGGCACCCACTCCAAGAGCTAAGCCCTCAGAAAAAGGATGGCACTTCGAGGGCAGGAAACCCGAGAAAAACAGTGATTTTAGTCAAATTAGTATGACAACAAACACGGAAGAGACCAAATTCCAGGGTAATTTTTTTGCTAAGCCTTCATTCTCACCCGCAGGTCCCCTGTTCCTGGGAAGTATTCACCATACTTATGAAAGGACACGGTCATCACACGATCTGTGGTATAAAAAGCTTCCTCCACGCCGTCTCCGTGGTGAATATCAATGTCAATGTACAGCACTCTCTGGTGATACCTAGGATCACAAAGGAGTCAAAATACTGCATTTCTTCAGAGCAGAAAATGTCTTCATCAGCACAGCAAATGGGAGGAGAGGAAGGAACTTGGTGCTAACCCCCAGACTGCCAGCTACCAGGCAGCTTCCTCTCTGGGATCTACAAGCACAAGAGCTGTGAAGAACAGACACAAGCCTTGGTTGCCAGTAGAACAGAACCACAGAAGAAAATGAAGTGGCTTTTGCTGCTGCAACTGATCTTTGAAGGCAGACTCAGCTTAGTTTATTCAGATTCAGCCAACAGACCGCATTTTTATGTCAAGCCTCCCACTGAGGTCTGCCTTGAGCCAAAAGCTGTCACATATTAGAGCTGTGGCCCATTTTCCAGGGTGGGTGGTACAGGGAAGGGTCTAAAAGCAAGCACACAATGCTTCCAGCTTCCTGCATAGTGCCACCACTAGACACAGCCCTTTGGGAGAGAGGGTACTGCACCCCAAAAAATAGCTGCTTAAGCCCTCCTGGGAAAACACAGCTTAAAAAAAAGCAATAAAAAGAGAAGGCTGGGAAGAAAGCACCAAGGACTCAGAGGAAATGCAGCAGAATGGACAAACAAAAGGGGTAAACGGCAGTGCCCATACTTTAAGAGTTCCAAGATAGCCAAGACGATATCATTGACATAACAGAAGCCAGAAGCCTCTGACTTCTTAGCGTGGTGAAGGCCTCCTGCCCAATTCACTGCAATATCTGTCTGTTGCTTGTTCAGCTTCACAGCACTGGCTGTTGGGAGAAGAATTACACAGAGTTAGCACAAGAGCAAAGGCCCATGACAGAGAACAAATGGTAAAGCACTGGTCCCTCATGGCCACCTCTCTGCTTATGTGTGTGTTTGTGTATTTCACAAACCACAAGGCTAAAGGTTTAACACTGGATGCCTCCACAAATGAACAAAAAGCAAGGGAAGAGACATGCAGCTCTGTTTTGTCTGCGTATACCTTTCATAGCTTCCCACTCCTGCCTCAGAGCACGAAAGCTCCACAAACAAATACAAAGGATTCTAGCTGGTGTCATAGCTGAAGACAGTTGAGATTTCTCAGTGCCCTGAACAAAAGATTTTAACAAAAGGTCTTATACAACATAAATGTAGGTCATTCACTGAATATGCATTCAGGCGAAGGAAGTTCTCTTCCCCCAACCCCTTCAAAAACATTCTGCAAATCCTGAAAGTTTACCAGATTCAAAACAAATTATGTATTCTGTGGAATTAGGACCAGAGAGCACGGAGCTACTTCAAAAGATGCTGCAGGCAGCACCTGTCTGTACGGCTGAGCTACATTACAGGAAATAGAGACTTCTAGATGCGACTGTCGGAGCAGCAGCCACAAAGTTTTAACGCCTTTACATAGGGATATCAGTCTGCTACAAAGTACTTGAAAATAGCAAAAGCATTTTAAATGTTGCAGCTTTCAGGGAGCTTACTGAAACCTTGCAGATTCTGTTTTGCCAGGCGTCCATGAGACACTGGTGTTTTGTTAAAAACAACAGATAAAGTGGCCCTTGTCTTTCCTTTTCAGGTTCTGCCTGCCCTGAGCAAGGATGTTACAACTTTTTTTTTTTTTCTTTCCTGTAAAGCTGACATTGATTTTTTTATTAAACCCCTGTTGCTGCTGTGGTTTTAACTGTATTGCTGGTGATGTTGTTATACCACTTACAGAGCTTCACATACTCAGTGAAGTAACCTGGACTAGTGAAGACACACTTAACAAATGTAGAGGGATCTGTCAATACACAAGGCTTGAACTCCCACATGGGAAGAAATCTGGATCTAATTATTAAGGAAATCAGAAATACGTTCACGGAGCTTCCCCACCACAACCTACAACAATGTATTTCCCAGACAGAATGACATTACACACAGCTGCCTAAAAGGAAAGAACATACGAGTCATGAGCTTACCAACTGAACCTCCGGCAGAGAGCTGACAGAACTCAAACAGCCCATCAAACACAGGGCAGTCTTCCCCAACATTAACTTGAAAAGAATACAGAAGAGTTAGTAAGAAAAAACTCCAAGTGGCAAAGCCTATACCACCACTCATTTAAAAAGCTAGCCAGGTAAGCGAGCAACAGTTTTGAACACTTACAAAACATGAACATAATCAACCTGAGGATGCCTGACGAGGCAAAAAAGGGTTTTGCTGTAGGGAAGATGCTCCTGACTTGCAAGAAAATAGGAAACCAGGTCCCAAGAGCACTGGTGAGAGCAGCACTCCATCTACCGGGAATCCAGAAACCAGGCAATCACAGTGGCAAACAAGAGGGCAGGGAGGAGCTCTCAATGAAAGCTGTGTAATAATACCCATACATGTCCTCAGCTGCAACTCAAGGTGGATTTACAGTACTCTGCTCTGCTCAGGCAGCTCATGCTAGTCACCACAGGCACATACAGGCTGTGCAAAATGGGGACCAGAACTCCTTGCTACCCCACACAGGCCATGCTGCTACCTGGGCACCATGTTTTCGTGGGGATTGAAGGAGGAGTCACTGTTGTCAGTGACTATAGAGTAACATCAAGCTCCATTACACAACCCCCCAGCAAGGGGGAAAGGGTTTTGTTCCCATTTCCTGCTGTATTGCTGATGAGGAGCTAAGAAAGCAAACAGTGCCAGCACTGCAGGAGAATGTGGGGAATGGCAGGGAGCGGTGGGTACTGGACGAGAAGTTCACATCCACATCTTTGTTACACTTTGTACATTCCTTTTACTTCACACTGGGCAATCAGTTTTTAAGTTCTCAGCAGTACTGTAGTTCTGGCCTAGATAAATTTTTTACTCTGAATATTTCCATGATTAAAAATTAAAACAATAACAGACATATTGAATCTAGATTTTGCAAGATTTATTTCTACAAAAAAAAAAAAAAAGGCATTTTTGTAACATCATCTGTAGAATGTTTTCTTCTGTGCTTAATAAGAAAGACACCACCAGCACAGTTCTTGCAGCACTGGAAACTCGTCAGTGCACAGACTCCACAAAGACCATGTGATAAGGGAGCCTGAATGATCCCAGTTTGGGACAGGGAGACCCAGAATGAAGCAATTGCTCCTGCTTTCCAATTGTTTCAGCAGGGCATGGCAACTGGCAGAGTTTGAATATTCAGCTCAAAAAGGTTGGAAGCTTTCCCTGTTAAGTGAGGAGAATTTAAATTGTTGATTTCTGCATGCTTCCCATCACAGCAAATTAAACTTCTTGCCCTTCAGGTGACAGAGCAGCTTTCCCAACTCCTCACGCAAGCAACGGACATGAACAGAATGAAATCAGAGCCTGTTCATTACCTTTACTGCCACTCAGAACTTTGTGGGCAGCACAGTACTTGAAGCATCCCTCTGCTATACCTGACAAAGAAAGAAGCTGCTGTGCAGATGCCAGTTGGGCTTTTTCCCACCTGGAAATTCAAATCAGCCAGGACTGCTAAGGAGGGATTTAATAACAAGGGTCAATCACTGACTGTAGGCATAAATCTCTGGCATAAGACAACGAAGGGCACGGATGCTCTTTTTTCCTTGCAATGGGTGGGTGAGCAGCTTTGTATCTGGGAGAGCACAATCAGAGACGGACCAGCATTAAAGGTGGAAATATTCTCATAGAAATCATAGCAGCTACCCCTCCCTCAAAGGGAAAGCTGAAGTATCAAGCAGGCTAGAGTTCTGGCACTGGACTTGGGAGCAGTGACCTTGTCTCCTATATCCCTAATGTCTGTTCTGAGCCGCCTGTGGTAGTTTTCTAGCTACACAGAGGCTACTATTTTGAGGTCCTGTTGAAGCAGAGCTCTGTCCTCTGCATGTTTTAAGATTAATTTTCATATTTTGCCTCCTCCAGATAAAAACAGTTCTGTGGAAATAGAGTACAGAAAATGCTGACTACCAGAGAGCAGAGTGGGTGATTTTGAGCTGTATCTGCTTCAGGAGCAAAGCATTCAGTTTGTGTAAATATGTACTCTGGTATGTTAAGACATACCATTTACTGTAGGGAGTCTTTCAACATATATTACTTATGAGCTATGTTACCCATTTTTGCTTGTGCCTTAACAGCTGTCCCCTTCAGCTCATACCACATTTCCAGTTGCCTCTACTTCAGACTCAAGACCCACAGCTCCTCTAAATTGCAGACTACATTTATTCCACCTAAATAAAACCCATGGGCTTTTTTCTGCTCTTGAGGACTGCAGTATGCAAGGCCAGAATGCTGTTTAAATGAACTCTGAGCCCTCCCCACTATATGTACTTGCTAGAAATCTAATTTGCTGCAGCTATTGCCAAAGAACATCAACTCAGAGTTTCAGAGACCACAAAAAAATGTTTCTGTAACATTAAAGTCACCTTTAAAGGCCTTTCCACAGATTGGAGAGGTTGGAACAAGATACTATCTCACAAAATAAACCATTCTAACACCAAGCAGACAAGTATTATTGTGCATCTCAACCGTCCCCTACTTCCAAACTGCCACTGCCCTGAAAATTCTCCAGAGTTACTGCAGATTTTGAACACAACTTGGAAGTTGTGAAGGGTTTTTTTTTGTTTGTTTGTTTTAAATTACACAACCCTTTCCCCACCTCAATACCTCTGGTTTAAGGTAGGCAATAACACAAAACACACGCAGATCATAAATAGAATAGTTCAGTCATCTCTGATCAGGAAGGCAATTTTGAAGAGTTTCCATCAAAACACAAGACCAAAAAAGACAGCCAGGTCAAAGGGTTTTCCTCAGCTCTTTTGGCATATTAGCTAAAGGGAGGGACCCATTCTTAAAACGCACAGTTTACCAGAAAAATCAAATCCAAAGTCAGGATAAAGACAATTTCCTGCAGTTCTTCCTACTCTTTTTTATCACAAACCTCTGAAGCTGGCCTGGGATTCCCAGAACCAGAAGTTTTAACAATGGCAGGAATAAAGCTTACATCTTTGCATCTGCTTGCTGTACTCAGACATGTTATCTGGGCGAATAGATCTCAGAAATTTTATGTAGTCATCACTGTGGTACTTCGTCATTTCTTCTGCATTTGCCTTGTGAGGGCGCTGCAAGGACAGAAAAAGACCAAGCCTCACTTTGCAAGTCATCTCTCTCCCTAATTCCCATTTCCAATCTCAGATTCACTCCCAGGAACAGCAAAAAAACTCAAACCAGCATCATTAAACAAGAGAAACTTATTTTCAAAGGTTAAGAATGTCACTACCAGAGACTGGCATGCACTACATATCTAAACAAAGAAAGTATTTAAGTTTCAGGAAGAAAAGCCATTTTCCAGTCTCCAAAGTTTATCTGAAGTAAAGAACATTTCATTACAAGCAAGCAGAAGAAATACATCAAAACAACTGGTTCCTTTCCTTTCTTTTCTCCTTTCCTTTCCCTTCCCTTCCTTTTTGGATTGTCAACAGAGAACTCACAAGTCTGAAGCATCAAACTTAAAACCTAAGACCTAAACTAAGGTCTTCCACGTCAATTTCTCTTCACAACCAGCCCTACACTTACATATATTTCCATCTTCCTGTACAGGCCATAGTTCAGCAGTAGGTTGTGGGTCATCCGGATCCTGTGGGGCTTCATTGGATGTCCCTGGCCATAATAGTAGTTTCCAACATCACCTGGAAGCAGAAAGGATTTTATTACAGCAGGGAAAACTATTAATTCCTTCAATTGGGATCACAGCTGAGCCACAAATCCACCAGGTCATCTGTCATTTTATTTGTCCTTCAGCAGCGCTCTGTTCACAGGGTAATAGGGGCTCCCATCTTGTTCACACAGGTATCTGCATGGATTCAAAAAAGCTTATCCAAGACTCAAACAAGACAGACATTTGTAAATTAGGATATGGCCAGACAAGGAATTTTTTAATGCCAGTTCTGAAGACAATAATCTAGGAAGAGCCCGAACAACCAGCACAAGAGGAGAGAGCTCCAGCTTTCCTGGGCAGGATGAGCTTTGTGCACCGCATCTGCCTGTCCTCACCCAAAGCACTACAGCTCTCCAGTGTGATCTCCAGGTGGTTCAGGCCCACTGTGGTACCTCACATCTACAGCTCACACATTTCGCTGTGAAATGCAGCCACGCTTTGAGCAGAAACCTGAACACCAAGAGGTACATGAGTCTAATCCCAGCTCAGACAGTGACTCATCAGTAGGAGCACGTAGCCTCTGCCTCAGTTTCTTACTATTTCCCTAACAGAACCAAGATACAAACCCTACCAATAAGCAAACACCACAGCAGCTATAGTTTTGCCATTTTCACTCCTCATTATTGCTTGAAATCCTGCAGAAAAATCCCAGTCCCACACACAGACACACCTGATAAGCTATCCCATGGGCATCAGCATTAATGAAGTTGGCTTCCTCCGAATATATCACACAGATAAATCACACAAATTTATCATGCCTGTATGTGGATGTTCTCCTACCTAAGCAAAAGCTAAGCCCATGCTGCATTCTCTCATAGGTGCTGCTGGTTTCTCCCTCCTCCTCTCCCAGGGTACTTCTTTTCATGAAACTTAAAAATTTAATTTGCAGATTTCTGCCTCCTGTCTGATTTGGCTGCAAGAGAGAGAGTCAAAACTTGTAGAGAGCAGGAAATGCAGACAGCTACACACAGCTGCAATCTGAGGGTGGTGAGGCCCTGGCACAGGTCTCCCAGAGAAGCTGTGGGTGCCCCATCCCTGGCAGTGTGTAAGGACAGGTTGGACATAGGGGCTTGGAGCAAGCTGCTCTAGTGGAAAGTGTCCTTGCCCCTGGCAAGGGGGCAGGGGGTTGGAACTGGATGAGCTTTAAGGTCCCTTCCAGTCCAAAAACAGTCTGGGATTACATGATTCTACAACAGCACCATGCAAGCCCCATTTTCCTGGGAAACCAGGCTAAGTTGTTCATGTAGTTGTACAACTCCCCATCAGTTTAGGAAGCAGGAGACCCAGTCCAGTCTGTCTGGTGACTCAGTTGGGAGTATTAATATTTCATCACCAGTCTTAACAGTCAGGAGAAACTACAGCTTCCCCAGTGCACACAGATGTAGGTTTTCCTCCTGTAATCGTGGCTCTATTTTTTAATCAAAGTAGATGCAACCAGTGCAAATCCTACACCCAAGCAACTCTGCTGCTGGAGTTTACCTCTCCCATGCCACTATGATGAAACAGGGTGCTCTCTGCATGAAGGTATTTTACTGGGGCAACTATCCCTTCAATAAAATCAGGTTAAATCAAGCTTTGGGGAATCCCGTAACAGATGCGTAAAACCCCATCTAGAAAATACAAGCACAAAACTACATGAAGCTTCGAAAAATCATCATCTTCACCTCAGTCTGCAGCAAAAGGCCCTATGCACACCCATACCTCTTCCAGAGCCTCATGATACTCACTCTGCTAAATACATCCCACCACAGGTCCACCAGAGTAGCAGACTAGCTTGTCTGCTCATGGATGTCAGTGAAGTGTGAACTCAACAGGTACCTCTTCCTGTTTGCTAGGGTTAAGCAAGTTAACATGGGGAGCCTATAAAGGAGAAGCAACCGTTCAAGCTCAAACCCTTGCATAAACCTCAGCACACCTCAGGTTTTCCAGGAAGGACCCTTAGGATACCCATATCTTTTCCTGCATTGCACCTAGACCCTTCCCTGCAGCTTAGGCTCCTTCTCCAGCACAGGATGCCCTCCAACCATCTGGAATTTATGGAAGACCCACAAGCCACCCAAAAGAGTTCCCAGGGACCTCCTTTCAGGGTGCAATTACTGCACTAGATTGCACTGCTCAACCTCCCTGTGTGGAAAATAAGACCCTAACAAACTAGCCTCCCTCAACTGCTGATCATGCCTTCCTCAGGAAGAAAAGTACACTTTTACCACAGGACACATTGTGGATGCTTGCCAGCAACTTGTAAAAGAGCAGTGGAAAGAAGACCCTAAAACCTCACCACAGAGTAAATTAGTGAGGGCAGCTATAGATGAGAGGATGTAATGGTAATTTCACATAGCTACCATGCAATAATAACTACAAGGATAGCAACTTACTTAGCATTTTCAAGCAAAATGACTAGTAATTTCATATTTAAGACATCACTGTGTGCCTTTAAAAATTATAGCTTGTCCACAAACTGCTGCTTTGTGAGTAAAGTGACAAGTTGCTTTGTGAACATGTTATATTCCAAAGCCAGGGATAACTTTGGACACCGTTTTTTACCCAGCATCCAGATCACGTGCACATGTGTGGCACTGTAGCACATCCCACACGCACTCTAAGCTTAAAACAGGCATTTTAGGGGGCAGGGCTCCAGCACCCCCTTGTATTTCGATATGATTGCACAGAGATTAGTTGCATGGTGAAACTGGGCTCAGTTTCACTGCACCTATTGCTCTAATCCAGATTCCTCCTCACCCTGCTCCTGGAGGCACTGGCCAAGTCAGAGACCCTGCAGACTGTCATTACAGGTTGCAGACCTGTTTAGATTGACTTGTCCAGAGAAATAAATGCCCTCACTACATGCCTGACACATGCAGCAGTTTAGAAGAGCCCCGCTTCATTGCTGGAACACCAAGTCCATCCACTTAGCAGGAAAAATCAGTGAGGTTTTTATCTGATTTCACAGACTGAAAACCATGAGGAAACAGAGAATTGCACAATACCTTTCACAGCCTCTGTTAAAAACAAGCTTGCCCATCACCAAGGCATCAGTTCACCCCTCCAAAGGGAGGAGGTTGTGAACGTGCAGATTGTGGTTTCTCCCACAGTCTATGGGGTAGAAGCCATACAAGATACCCAGCTTGGGATCTGGCTAGCCCTAACACCCCATTACTTCACAACTCCAACGGGATGATTATGTAGGCCCAAAGAAATGGGTCCTCAGCCTTGTAACAGAAAACAAAAAGAACCAGTCTAAGGTCCAGCCAAGTTCACAGCCAGAAGGAAACAATGTTCCCAGACACAGGAAACTCCCTACAACTAGTCATGCAGTCCGTCTGTCTGGCTCCTCGCACCTCCGGCTTATCCCTTGCTTGACAGACAATACCACTATCCCAAACTGGAGCTTCAAAAGAGCCTCTTCATAACATGGCTTGAGAAAGTTTAATGTCCCCACAATCTATCCTGTCTCCCAGTACTTCTCCGAGTCCTCCCCATACTCCTAGAAACCTTCTTCAGCATCTCAGCACGGCTCCCAAAGCCTCTCTTATACTCATGTCCCCCTCTCCATCCTGGACCCTTTACAGCCTTTCTCCACTTAGAAACTCTCTACATCTCCATACCTCCCCACCCTACGCTACCCCTGTCTCTCCCCAGTACTTCTCCCCTCTCTTCCCCACACTCCTCCCTTTCTCCACTCCAATGCTTCCTCATATCACCTCCATGCTCCCTATGCCCGCAAGCATCCTCCATTCTCTATCCATGCCACAGTCCCCACATAATCCTGTCCATATCCATGCCCTGACCCCCATACCTCCATGCCCCTATCGCTCCCTGCCCTCCAGTGCAGCCCCCAGCCCTCCCCGATCCCTCAGTAGCTCCAATACCCGTCCCTGCAGCCTCTGCCCAGTGACCCCCATTACTCCTCCCACCATCTTCAGTGCAGCCCCCAAACCTCCCCTGTCCCTCAGTGCCCCCAATACCCATCTATCCGCCCACAGTGACCCCCATTACTCCTCCCAGTGACTCCCACTACTCCTCCCACCACTCTCAGGACAGCCCCCAGCCCCACCACACTCCCCAATAACCCCCCTACTATCCCTACCCCCCCTACGGCCTCCAATGACCCCCCATTACCTTCCCCCAGCCAACCTCACCCCCAAGCCCAGTGACCCCAATTACCCCCCAGTGCAGCCCCCACTGCCCCCCCATTCTCTACCTCCCCCTCTCCCCACACCCAGTGTCCCCACCCCCCCCCCCATCCCGGCGCCCCCCGTGGCGACCCCACCGGTGCCCTGCAGCCCCTCACCGTCGTAGTAATAGCAGACTTTCCGCTTGGTGCCCTGCGTCAGCGCCATTTTCCTACCTCCCCACAGCGACAGATCCTCCCGCCGCCCCGCACAACCCAGCCCGGCCCGTGCCCCGCCGCCCCGCCCACCGCGTAGCTCAAGGCCTATCAGAGAAGACCGCTCCGCTCCTCTCCCTCCCACCAGCCAATAGGAAATCGCAGCGGCGGGGAGAGCGCGGGAGCGGGGGCAGCGAGCAGACCGGGCGGAGCGGCGGGGTGCCTGGGCTGTACCACTGCTGAGGAGATGAGGGGGAAGAGGGGAGAAGAAGGCGAAGGCGCGGGATGCACCATCGCTGAGGCGCGGGGAGTGGGGTGGGGGCAAATGAGGAGAGGGCCCAGGTGTGCGGGGCGGAACCATTTGGCGTGGGAGGGGACACCAGGTGGGGCTGAAGCCATCGCGGGGTGGGCGAGACACACAAGGTACCGGCCTCTACCGGCACCCAGCCTTGTCGCCCCCGGGGCTGGTGTAAGAGGGACTGGGGGGGTCCCAGATCCCGGGATGAGAACGGGCCGGGACCCCCAGCAGCACTGCTGTTAGTGGAGTCCATCCCCTGAGGCCATAGGGCAAGCACCCCGCTTGCCCTATTGCCTCACAGTGGCTGAGCATCCTTGAGGGCCACAATGGCAAAGGCCTTTTTCTCCTCAAAATGGCTCCTATGAACACCACAGTGAGAATAAGGCGCACCCCACAGCCAAAGGCTTCAGCAGACATCACTTGCGGGGGGTTCCTGCCATCACTGGGGGTGAAGGAGCTGGTGAGGCCCATGGGCGAGGGTCTGGCATGGCCTCGGCCAGCCCCTCGGCCAGCTAGAGGCCGGGTTTGCACTCAGCAAGTGCAAAGGGACAGTGTGTGGGGAACCCAAATGGCCCCACATCACACCATCAGGCCCCACACATACCAGCCCTCTGCTCTTTGGAGTCATTTGTCGGCTTTGCCCATCCATCACCTTCTGAAGGAGTGAAATCTGCTCCAAAGACTTGAAGCACTTCAAATCTTTACTGCTGAGGTCCAGGCAGCGCTGGTGAACACCCCAGGTGATGTACATAGAGTCTGTGGGGACCTGGTGCATGGGGAGCAGGTCTGGGCACCCCAAGCCATTGTCCTTATGGCTGCTGCTGATACTGGCCCTCAGTGGCAGTGAAGAAGTCCTCCAGCACGCTTTTCATGTACTCAAAGGTGGGACGCTCCTCGGGCTTCTCCTTCCAGCACTGCATCATCAGTTCGTACAACTCTTGTGGGCAGTTGTCTGGCTGCGGCATGCGGTAACCACGCTCCAGGTTCTGTATCACCTCAGGGTTGGTCATCCCTGCGAGGAAAGGCACACAACACTGAGTTTGGGTCACCCCCGTGTTGCAGGTAGCACCCTACACTTGCAAATCCCATGGGGAAGCTTCCTTCTCCCTCTACTGCCACTGAAACCCGCCGTGGCTGGCCATGTGCATCAGGAAGTGGTTGAAACCATTGCGGGCTGGCAGGGAAAGGAGCCAGATGGGGCGGCTGGGAGCGTGTGTGCGTGCAGGAGTGCATGAACACACTCCTGGGTGTGCGCTTGCGTTAAGTGCGTGTGTGTGAGCCCTTCTGCTGCACAGCTGCTGGGAAATCCTGACCTGGATACGGGATCCGGCCATAGGTGACGATCTCTGTGAGCAGGATGCCAAAGGACCAGACATCCGACTTGATCGTGAATGTCCCGTAATTAATAGCCTCTGGCGCTGCCCACTTGATGGGGAATTTAGCCCCTGAAAAACAGCAGGAGGCAAGGAGAAATAAAACATTACAGCTGAGCTGGAAACATCCCTCTCTGTGTAACTGGATGTGACAACCCTGAGACTGCCTCTGTCCCCGCTGTATGCCTAGGGACAAGCTGGGTTTGGTGGCAGCCAGCTCCCTGCTGCTTGGCCACCTACAGAGCCCTGAGGCAGGCCTGCAGCCCTGTTCCTGCAGTAGCCACCAGGCAGGGCTGTCACCCCACCAAAAGCAGAGTTAGGTGGGCATGCAGGGACCCCGCAGCTCTCCTTCAGCTGGGGGGAGAGAGATGGAGGGGGAAGGTTCTCTGCACCTTCCTGCTCCCCTCTCCTGTGGTCACAGGCAGTCCTGTAGCTCCCAAGGCACCTCAGGGGCCCCGAAAAGAGGCTGGGGTGGGTGTGTGGGGGGGTTCTCTCTCCTGTAGCCCTGAGCTGTATGGACAGACCCTCGCGAGCCGTGTACTCATTGTCCTCGATGAGCCGGGCGAGCCCGAAGTCGGCAATTTTGCAGCACAGGGTGTCCGACACAAGGATGTTGGCGGCCCGCAGGTCGCGATGGATGTAGTTCTTGGCCTCTATGAAGGCCATGCCCTCAGCGATCTGCAGTGTGGAGTGATTGCAATTAATCACCACCAGCATGACAGAACCCTCCCCACCACTAGCCCCACGGCTCTGTCCCCCCTCACCTGCGCTGCCATGTCCAGCAGTTTATTGATTCTGAGCTTGATGCCTTCTGAGGTCTTGAGGAAGTCCACAAGGCTGCCTGCAAGGAAGGTGGTGGGTCTCAGCAGCAAGCTCCCAGCTGGTGGGAGAGCCATGATGCAAGGGCAGAGTGGGGAGGTGAAGGATGCCAAAGCAGCTTGAGATCCATAAGCCAGCACCAACCACTGAATGAGAACAGCCAGAAGCCGAAAGACCATGGCTCTTCACAGTATCTGGGTGCTCTCACCCTTCTCCATGTACTCTGTGATGATGTAGATGGGCTCCTTTGTCACCACGGCATACAACCGCACCAGTCGTGGGTGCTGCAGGTTCTTCATGAGGTTGGCCTCTGCCAGGAAGGCACTGGGTGACATGCTGCCCTGCTTCAGGTTTTTGATGGCCACCTTAGTGTGGCCATTGTAGAAACCTGCAGAGAAATGGGGCAGAAGGTGATGGGAGAGAGGGACCCGTCACCAGGCACTGCTGGGGGGCTGCATGGCAGGGAAGGAGACAAATATGAGGGCTACTCTGATGATCTACAGCATCCCAACCCAAAACTGCCCAAGCAAGAGATGTTGGAGGAGGCAAAGGTTGGTTGAAGACAGGCAATGGACCCTTATGCCCTGGAAGGCTGTTGGCAGCAGGACCAGAAGACTTTTGGTGATGATCACAGCTCCATGCTTGCCACCTCCTGGGCAATAATCTGTAACTGCATTTTAACCCACCAGGCAGATACTTTTACATGTGGCTTTCAAGCTCCAGGAGCAAAGGAAGCTATTGGTTTCTGGGCTTTAAATAGGGAGGCTGGGGGAACCGGGTAGCAATGCTGAAACCAGTCCTGTCCCAAACCATCCCATCTCATCCTGTCCCATCCCAGCCACCACCCATGGGAGCAAAGGCAGGGAATCACCCCAGTGTCACCAACTCACCCATCCAGACTTCTCCGAACTGCCCTGCTCCCAGCTTTTCCACCAGCTTCAGCGACTCCCGTGGAACCTCCCACTCATCCTGCCACCAGGGCTTCTGCGGGCGCTGGGTCTGGCAGGGCTTGCCCAGGCGGGTGCACAGCCCGTCTGAGCAGCCTGCAGCACAGGGCACAGGGCCTGTGTCAGAGCAGGCTGAGGGCACAGGGCACCCAACACAAGCTACTGACTGCTGGGGTACGGGTAGCAGCATGTCCTGCTCATCCCATCCTGTCCTCTCCTATTCTGTCCTATCCCATCCCGTTCCATCCCATCCTGTTCCATCCCATCCTACCTCATCCCAATTGGTCCTGTCCCATCCCAATCCATAGCATCCTGTTCTCATCCCATCCTATCATATCCCAAATCGTCCCGTCCCATCCCATTCCATCCTGTACCATCCTATCCTATCCCATCCCAACCCATTCCATCCCCTGCTTGCAGAAAAGACCAGCTCCGGGTAGTACTTACGTGTGTAATACTCCACCAGCTCATGCAGGCTGCTGAAGGTGATGCGGGGGGAGATGTAGTACCCCCCCTTGTCCATGTTGCGGATCTTGTAGTGCTTCACCGTCTCGCCCTGGTTCTGGTCAAAGTCCCTCACCGACAGTGAGTAGGAGCCTTGGAAGACAGGGACCATGTAGGTCTGGGGCCCTGACACTCCTCCTGTGCTTCCCAGTGGCAGGAGATGCCAGTAGGATGGTACCTTTGGAGGTCTCGCTCTCTCGGATGAGGAAGGAGCCATGTGTGTTGCTTGAGGCCAGGAGCTGCCGCTCTGCATCCTTGCGGCTGATGTTTTTGAAGAACCACCTGAGGACACGCAGGGCAGAGTTAGGGCTGGGAAAGCTCAGGCCACCTTTACCCACCCTGGCTCCTTCCCACTCTGCCAGGACACAGCTCCTACTCAACCCCTACTCACGGCTCAGGCTCCAGGCTGTTCAGCAGGGCCACAAAGTTGTAGGGGATCAAACCCTCCTGGCCAGTGGTGAGCGACTGAGCCTTCCACCATTCCCCACTTCTGCAAGGACACAGTGAGGTAAGACCCTCCTGGCTGCTGGGATCTGCATGGATGCCCCTGGCAGCACTGGGATGTGGTGCAGCAGGGTGATGCCGATGTGGGTGCTGGGACACCTCTGGCAGTCACTCACTCTTCCAGGATGCGGAGCTTCTCGCCTTTCTGCAGACCCAGGTCTCCGTTGTGCTTGGGCTCATAGTTGTACAAGGCCACCACCAGCTTATCTGGGAGGAGGGGCAGAGGGACAGGGTGGCAGTGGCCAACTGTTAGCCATGGCTGTCCCCGCCATGGACCATACCTTGCAGTGGGGACCATACCTTGCAGTGGGGAGCACGGTGGAGATGTGGCCTCGTAGGACACCAGTGGGTCTTGCACCTCGGAGCCGTTGTGGATCAGCCTCTGCCAAGGGATGAGGAGCCCTGTAACTCTCACCTTTCTGGGATTTGGCCAGCTCCAGAGGTGTTTGGCCACCAGTATGGGGGGAAGAGGGTCTGCTCGCTCCCTCTTACCTGGGGCTTGCTGTTGGGCTCAATGGGGTAGTTGCAGTGCTCACAAATGTCAATGTTCTCGATCCAGTCCTCATCATAGTCTGAGCTGCAGCAGCAGCCCATGGTGGCTGCAGGGGGTGATAGATGGTGAAGGAAGCCTTCAGACCCCCCTTCCACTCCAGCACATCCCCATCCTTGCATCTATCCATCTTCCCACATCACATGGCTCATCCCTCACACTCTGCAGGTCCTCAGCTGAACTGGAGGCAACCTCTGACTCCCCATATTTCCTCCTAATCATTTTGTTCTGGCTTTGTTAATTAAAAACACCAAAGGCAACTAGTCCCCAGTCTGAGGCTCCTATTTCCCACTGCCACAAGCCAGCCAGCTCCTTTGCACTCTACAGCCCTTGGGCTGGGCCCTGTGTTCTCCATCAGCTAACAATCTAATCATGAGTATCCCATTACCAATTAATACAATGGTGTGTTTTACCAGACACCTCCCTGGCACCACCAGCAGCTCCTGGTGTAGAGGTAGGTGTCAGCGCTCCCCCACCAATGCTGCATCACCTCTGATTTCCTTCCCCACCCTGCAGGTTCCCCTCATGCATTCACCGTATCACTGTGCTCCTGTTTCTCCTTCGTCAGGGATGTCCTTTAAGTCCTCATACCTGCTCAGGGGCCCCTCATCCTTGGCAGCTCACCCTGAAACATCAAGGTCCCCCCCACCTCAAGCCACAGTGATGCCAAGCTGGTGTACCTGACACCACGGTGTGAGAACTGGGGCAGCCTGGCAGTGATGCCATGAGCATGGTGTGGACTCTGCAAACCAGCCATCAGCTCTTGCCTTGCCATGAAAGCCAATCATGGTGCAGGGCCGAGATCCCTGGCAGTGCCTGACATGCAAACAGCAGTCAAAGCCCTGGAAAAGCTCTTCCACAGAATCCCTCTTGCCTGCACCGCCGTGATTTACCTCCACCAAGACCCAGGCCCCAAACCCTCCTTTCCAGGCTCTGCCCAGGAGCTCTGGAAGCTCTTGGGGGACCCCAGCACAGTTTCCACAGGCGCTGGGTGCCAACAGCAGGTTGGGACCCCCACACCATGCCCCAAAACCAGCACCTGGAAACAGCAGCCACTTTGGAACTCTTATCTGGCAGCAGGCAGTGCAGGTGTGAGGGTCCCATCCATGCCATGCCTTGCAGCAAGCTGGGTCCCCAGGAGATACTGGCAATGTTTTCTCCTTGGTTTCCTACCCAAAGGAGCCATTGCACGCCTGTTTCCACAAGCACATGCTTAAACCCATCTCTTTCCAAGGTAGTGGGGGGCTTCGTTTGAGTGTGTGCCCTCATGGGTGGCTGAGGACACAGGAAAGAGCCTCATAGGGGGACCCCAAAAATGGTGCAGGGTCCACAGGGTGCCACCAACCACGGATGGCCATCGGTGATGGGTGATCTGGGAGAGGAGAGGGCAGATGAGTGAGCTCCTTGCTCATGCTGTGCAACACCGCTTCAGGGACTCAAAGGCTAAAAACCACCCTGATGCCTTCAGCTTCTGGTTACGGCTACTTGGGAACACTCCTTGGCACTCAAGAAAAGGGGTTTGGGCACATTACAGCTCCCTAATGCAGGCAGGAGAAGAAGCCTCCGCTCTCCCAGACCTACCCACAGCCCTCCAAATGCTTTCACTGAAGGCAAGGGGTGCCAGGAGGTATTTTTTCCTCCCTGCACCAGCTGGGGTGAGGAGGGAGGTGCTGCTGTTGTGCCTTTTTGTCTTAACACACTCAAGCCACAGAAGAATTTCCACCCAGCGGCCATGTCACCTGCACGGTGGAGGGCCTTGCTGGTGACACACCGTGTTTGAACTCGGTGTTTGGTGCCTGCATCTGGTGCAACTGAATTTCTCTGCAAGGAATGTGTAGGTGCCCCCGTCCCATGCCTCGCCATGTCTGAGTGTGTGCACGCCTGTGCACGGCTGTCCTTGCATGGCTGTGTATGTGCCGCTCTCCGGAGCACATCTAGACCCCTGGTCCATGCTGGAGGAGCTGCCCTGTGCCAGCCCTTCTGCATAAACCTCTCCAGCCAGGTCTGGTTGGCCTGTTTACAAGTATGGGCAGGCGTGAGGAGGGCTGAAGGATGGGCTGACCTTGTCCCTGACACTTTTCAAGGCTCACTGTGGCGGCCTGGATGTCCCAAAGCCAGCTGTGACCCAGCTGGATGAACCCTGGCCCCAGAGCTGCTGCTGCAGCAGGGAGGTGTTCAAAACCAGGCGTATCTCAGTGTCTGAACCCCCAGACTGGGAAGCAGACCCCGAGGGACCAGCACTAAATTGCTGCCGGTCTCCACACTCCTCTCACCCAGAGCCAGCTAGGTAAGAGCTTGTCCTTGGGGCCACAACTCCATCTTTGCCCTGAAAATGAGGCCTTGGGGAGAGTCCTGTGATGGGGTTGGAGCTCCCACCGTGGGCAGGACTTCCAGGCAGGCACAGGGCACTGGGACAGTGCCTTTCACTCAGACTGGGAGGCCACGTTAAGAGTGGGGAGCACAGCCTGTCTCCCCCATCGCTTGCTTGGGCACCAACGCTCTCACTCCTCCTGCAGCAATAAGCCCGAACCCCCATTTCCGTCCCTCCTAGGGGTAACTTCAAAGAGTGCAATGGGACCTCCCACCCTCCACATGCACCCAGGTGCTCCCCAGCTCCCATCTGGACAATGCCAACCCTCTCACCCCAGGTCCCTGTTACCTGTTGGCAGCGAGGCAAGGACCAGCTGCTCTCAGACTCCCATGGCCCAGCAGCAAGACAAAAGACTCTGTCCCCGCTCACGTCCTCTCCATGCCCAGCAGGAGCGAGGTGACCCTGTGGGGAGCAGAGACGAGCCCCCTGCTCAGTCCTGCTCAGTGCCTGCCCTGGCTTCCTGCTTCATGAGCAAACTCTAGAGAAGCTGGTTCACAGCTTCAAGCACAACCGCAAGAGTTAGTGACAAACCCTGGTGGCTTCCTGCCATCCCCGGCATGCAGGGCTGCTGCTCTGGGTGTCTCTGATCAATAATCCTCAGGGAACAGGTGGGCAAAGGGATGCTGAGCCCCTCAGTTGTTGGGAAGCAGGGTCATGCAGATGGGAGATGCCCTCCGAAGGACCAGCAATGGGAAGGGGATTATGCCCTGCTGCTAGGGCAGACCCGGCTATCCGAGCCCCTCTGGTCCCCTGCACTGTCCCCTCTCTCGTGCTCAGCATGGGCATGCTGGCACCTTGCACCCACCGTGACCCATCAGACCCTAACATGGGCTGTGAGACTCATCCTGCACCCTGCAGTCCCCACTTTGGCCATCACAATGGGGTTACCCCAAACCAGGCACCCCAAGAGCTGTGGTGAGAGGGGCTGAAGCCAAGGGGCCACACAGTGCCTCAGACAGGCTGCCAGCCCGTGTTTTTGGAGACAGCTTAAGGCAGAGCAATCACCTCACTATTGTCTTGGCCTTTGAGATGAAGCACGAAGCCGCAGGTCCCTGCTGCCAGCTCTGAAGAGGCAGGGGCAGGAAGCTCAGCTGTGACAGGGGCACGGTGGTGGCACCTCCAAGCATGGCATCCACTTGGGCAGGGGTGTTTCCCAGAGACTGCAACCATCCCCTTCCCATCCTGCTCACCAACCCCAACAGTGCCCCAGGCAAGGGGGGGTGGGGAGCACTGCATGGCCCTGAGGTGCACCACAGCCAACTGGGGTCCGTGTTGAGCTCTTCCTGCGTCATTCTGCTACCCTGGGAAGGAGAAGCAGCCCCCCAAATTATCCCCAGGTCACCCCACACCTTCCCTGGCACTGCTGGCAAAAAGTGTTCTGTGGAAGCCACATTCCCCAAGAAGCAACTTCTTTTGTGAGGGGTTTGCTGTTAATGAAGGAAGGGAAAAAGCTAAAACTAAACCCCTCTGGTGAGGGCAGTGTTGTCAGCCCTGGCTGCTGCTACCCTGCTCCCTGTGCAGGGCTGCAAGGGGCTGGAGATGGAGCAGGATGGGAGCATGGGGGCTGAACCCTGAGCACAGCCCCAGTACCTTCTGGCCTCAAGCCCCAAAACCAACCTCTCCATTTGCTGCTGGGTTGGGGACAAGCATTTCCTGCAGCAGTGCAGCCCAAGCACCCATCATGGCCAGGGACACGTGGGGACAGGTTGGCCATGAGGTCCGCAGAGCAGAGACAGTGTCTCCCTGACAGGAACTGGTGAGAAGTTGCTACCCTCTGAGCCAGGGTTGGGGAAGGAGTGATGGAAGCACATTACCCCCCTGGCTGCCTGCAGGTCCCCCATATCTAGAGGTTGAGGCAGGTGCCTGGGTGCAACAAAGGGAAAAACATCAGCTCCCACTTTCTATTCCCCCTCAAAGGGCTGCTCCCTACATTTTCCACTGCAGTTCACCCCACTGTCCTTAAGGACAAGGCAGTGGGTGTCCCAAAATACCCTGTGCCCAATGGAGATGGTGGCATTCCCATGCCGCTGTGGCTTGGCATCGTCCCAGGGGCAGGGCTGGCAGAACCAGGGCTCAGCACTGCCTGCTGCTCCACAGTCCGCAAGGGGTTTTAGGAGGGTTCTTGAGCCCTGCCAAGCCTGGATGCACCCATGGGTTCCTCTGAGGCTCACATCTAGGCTCCCTGCTGAGCACTCCATGGAGTGCTGCCACTTTCAGCAGAGGGAGAACCGCCGGGAGCTGATGTTCATGCAGGTGACGCCGATGTGCTTAAGAGGCATGGAGAGCAGGAAGGCAGCCTTGGGTGGGATGTTGCAGAGCAGATCCGAGTCTTCCTCGCAGCCCTCGAGGCCAACGGTAGCATTGTCTAGCATCTCCTTGTGCTGGTGGCAGGCCTGCTCCACCTTCAGCTGGTGCAGCTGTGCCCGCAGGCGCATCAACTGCTGTGCCAGGTGCTGGTCCATTGCTTGCATCTCCTGCTACATGGGGAGATGGGCATCAGGGCTGGAGTGGGACCACTATCCGGCCAGGCAGCAGGGCTGGGGCTTGGCCAGAGCACAAGCCCACTGTGGACCACATGCAGAAGTGGCCCTGGGGTCAGCACAGAACCCTGGGGTCAGCACAGGGTCTGTGCTGCAATCACAGCTCGTGGTCAGCTCATGTTTGTACGCACATGGCTGTTGCCACCCAATGGAAACCACCACTGCTGTGCCACCACACCAACAAAGTCCACTGCACCTGCAGAGCAGGTAGGAGGTGAGTTACAAGTGCAGGGCAGGACAGAGCCATGACCCCTGGAGTTGTGCTGCGGTCACGGGCAGAGCCATACGTGCCCTGCAAAACCCCAAGTACACCAGTGGTGCTGGGCAAAGGAGCAAAGCATCATGTTGCAACTGTAAGTGCCTTGGCCACAGCACATCCCGTTGCTGCTGTGTGAGGTCAGGCTGCAGGTACTCTCTCTGTGCCCCATGGCCCCATCCCTGCTTTGGGGTCAGCCCTTTGCCACCCCAGTCCCCCCAGCAGCAACTCACCAGCTCCATCCTGAGCCACTCCAAAGCTGCCTCCATGGTGGCAAAGCCACAGATGCCACCATCATGCTGGTCTTCAGGGTGCCCCATGCTCTTCTGTGCTCCCCTCATTCCCCAGGGGGTCTGAGTGAGCCAGGGCTGGCCCTGCACTCGGGCTTCCCACTCCAGGTAGGAAGGTCTCCGCGTCTGGAGCTTCATTTTGGCCGTCAGTGCCTTCACACTGTCCAGGCTCTCTTCCTTCCAGGCAGGCTCCTCCTCACCCAGCTCCTTGAACTTGAGCTGCCCAAGGGCCATGGCGGCACCCACCGCAGACCCCCCCAGCACTCCGGGGTCACCCATCTGCACTCGAAGCCTCAGTCCAAGCGGGGCCTCTGCCCCACTGCAACCGTAGGGCGAAGGACACCCTGGCCACCCGCAGCACCCACGTCCTGGCTATTTATTCATCTCCTGAACCCTGACGGTTGGGGACGCTGAGGACAATTCCAACGGGAGGGGACTTTCCTTATCTAGAGGAGTGCGAAGGAGGAGGGGTTTGGGTGTGTTTTGTTGGGGTTTTTCCATTGTCTTTCCCTTTTGTACACGACTGTGCCCCCCGGTTCCTCGGGAAAGCTGCCACCCTCCACAGGGACACCCTGGCGAGGGGCACCGGGGACAGAGTCACTCCCAGGGGCAGCGGAAGGGGGTCCAAAAGAATCCCGAGGAAGGAAAAAGAAACCGGGGAGGGGGCTGGGGGTGGTCCTGTGGCACGGGCGGGCGTTAAGGTGGAACCAGGTCAGGATGTGGCCGCAACTCTCACCGCCACCCCGCCAGCGCGGCTCCCGGCGGCCGAGGGTGACGGGTCTCGCCTGGGTCCCAGCACCGGCAACCCCCCCCAGCACTCCCCTAGCCCGGCTCTCCACTGCTCCCGGCCCCTCCATCCTCCCTGTGCAGTCCCCAAATCCCCTGCGAGCCCCCTGCCCCCTCGCTTGTCCCTTCCACGGCCCCACGCCAGGGGCCCCGGAGGCGAGGAGCGCCCGTCCGACCCCCGCGTCCCCTCCCCGCCCGGTACCCGCTGCCCTGCGGTGGAGCCGCCCCGGGGCCGGGCCACCTTAAACCCGACATTGGCCCTGCACCGAGCCGCCGTTCCGGCTGGGCTGTGCGGTCATCGTCCGCTCCCCCCCGCACTCCGGTCTTCCGCATTTACACCCACCACTTCCCCATCGGCAGTCCTGAGGTCCCCCGCTTGCTCCCCACGGGCCCTGATGTACCCACAGCCTCCGGCTTTCACCCTGCTCTTCTAGCTTGTGTCCCAAGGTCCCCTGCTCACACCGCAGGATCCCTGCTTGCACGCTGAGCTCCCCAGCTTATGCTGAATAGTTCCCTGTTTGCACCCGCAGCTCCCCCTCAGGACCCTGCTTGCACCCCAGGATCTGTGATGCACCCCACAGTTGCACCCTGAGATACTTGCTTGTGCCCTTGGTTCTCTTCTTGCACCCCCAGGTCCCTGCCTGCAGCAGAACCTGAGCAGGTAAGCACTGGGCTGGCTGGAGCAGGCAGCACTGGCAGCTGCTTAACCTCATCCTCATCCTCATCATCCCCGCTCGGGGCACCTGCAGCAACTTCTGCGCGCCATCCCCCAGGCCCAGGGGTGCTTGTGGGTGCAGGGTCTGTGAGAGCGGGGGCTCTGGCGGCACCATCCAGTCCCAGTGTAGGCAGGGAGGGACCCAGAGGGGCTGCCTGTAAGGCAGCAGCTACCAAACATCCCACCCTGCTGCAGCACTGCGAGCTGGATACTTGGCTTGGGATCTGAGCACTGCTGGGAGCTCAGAGACAGCTCGGCCTTCTCTGCCCTGTGCCTCAGTTCCCCATCTGCAGTGACAGCATTGCTGGGGAAGCAAATGTCACCCTCTCTGCAGTGAGGAAGTTCCATATGCTGGTGACAACGTAAACACGAAGATGGGGGTGAAGTTAGAGAGCCCCACGTGACACAGAGGGAAGAGTTTTTCCAGCCCTGGGCTGTGCTGCTGCAGGATTTCCCCTTTCTCCCTCCAGCCCCACGGCAGCAGCTGGTGGCACGTCCCTCCATGGAGTTCTCGGAGCTGATCAAGACGGCGACTGTGGAGAACGTGTTGCTGTCATGTGCGGGGCTGCCAGTGGTGAAGGGCACCCTATGCATCACCAGCCACCACCTTCTCCTCTCCTCCTGTCCCAGGGGGGATGGCCAGACCAGCACTGAGGAGCTCTGGCTGCTCATCCGCAATGTGGATGCCGTGGAGAAGAGGTGGGTCTCCTCCATGGCTGGCACCATGGTCTCTTTTAGCAGTGTCACAGTGTCACCCCTGCCTTAGGTAGAGGACGTTCCCTAGTGCTCTCCCAGTGTCCACAGCTACCCATTGCGCTGCCCACCAAGCCTCATCCCTCCTCTTCCCCACGGCCCATGCTGGAAGATGCTTGTGGCACTCACTCTTCTCCTCCCTGCCTCAGAATGCATAATTTAGGCTGGTACCAGCTCCCCCGGACTTACAGCTACGCAAGAGACACCAGGTTTGGTTTTTAATACCCTCTTGGCTCTGAAAATCCAGTGCTCGGCTTCATGTTAACCACCACAGCACATACCAGGCCCTGGCCAGGGCAGAGAGATGGTGGAAATCCCAGCTTCAGGCAGGAGAGCCATTAGTGCTGGATGAGAGCCAGCGATCTGGCACCCACACAGCCCTCCAGCTCCATCCTTTGGAAAAGGGCAGCTCAGCCGTTTTGTGGGTCTATGTGTGCATGGACCTATAGCCAGCACTCACCTCCTGCCTCCCCCAGGTCCACTGGCTCCTCCGGCACCATCACGCTCCGGTGCAAAGACCTGAAGGTGCTTCAGCTAGAGATCCCAGGCCTGCAGGAGTGTCTCAACATTGCCAGCTCCATCGAGGTGAGCTCCTCCTCACTGTGCCAGGGTGCAAAGGGTTGGCAGGAGAAAGCAGCCACCTGCAGTGTTTGATCTCAGTCTGTCATTAATGTGGGTAAAAACTTAGCCCTCACACAGCCCTGGCATGGGTGCCCATAGGGTTGGTGGTTCCATAGATGTGGCCAGGAGAGGGGACCAGGTTTGGGGTTTGCAGAGCCCTGGGGACACAGCAGGGATGTCCTCACCCCCTGCCCATGACCTGCTTCACCCTTGCTCCCACTCTAGGCCCTCTCCTCGGTGGACTCCGTGACGATGATGTACCCATTCTTCTACAGACCCCTGAGCCTGAAGCTCGAGGAAGGCTGGCACCTTTTCCCCCTCGAGCAGTACTTCCAGCAGATCGCCTCACAGGTGATCTTGCAAGACAGAGACCCAGCTGGGCTGGGGAGAGAAGCAACTCCCCCAACCCATGCTGGGCAACCCCCCAATCCCATGTTCCACCCCTAGACGAGCCAGTGGCGGCTGAGCAATGTGAACCAGGACTTCACCACCTGCCCCACATACCCTCCGGCTGTCATCGTGCCCGCAACAGTGGATGATGATGCCCTGCGGAAGGCTGCCCGCTTCCGGCAGGGAGGGCGCTTCCCTGTCCTCAGCTATTACCATCCCAAGAATGGCACCGTGAGCCCATCTCCCTGTACAGCCCTTCTTCCCCTGTCCCACCACTGCCAGAAAAGGTGGCTGGAAGCCCCCAGCTTGGTTTGACCCCACAGGCAATGCTCCGCAGCAGCCAGCCGCTGACAGGTCCCAACCGAAAGCGCTGCCGCGAGGATGAGCTGCTTCTGGGGATGGTACTGGACAAGGGGGAGCAGGGTTTTATCATTGACACGAGGTCAGCACAGACAGCAAAGCAAGCTCGGATGACTGGCGGGGGCACAGAGCCCAAATCCTCCTACCCTTAGTGGAGGCGGCTGCACCAGCCCCTGGAGAGGTGAGGGGCTGTGCTGAGCCCTGGTGCTGTCGTGACGTGGGTGATCACACTGCCCTGCCAATGACATTTGGACTCCAGCCCCCCTCTGCAAAAGCCTAACCAAGCCTCTAACACTATTTTCCTCCCCTCTCAGAGGCCGCCCGCTGCAGGAAAGCTTTATTAAGCTGGTGGAAGCCTGCAACACCACCTTGACCAACATGGACCAGTGGCTGAGTCGCTTGGAGAGCTGCCGCTGGCTGAGCCACATCAAGGCAGCCCTGAGCACAGCCTGCCTGGCAGCACAGTGCATGGACAGGTAATGGGGGGCTGTGGTCCCCACTTTCACCTTCCCAAAGCTCTCAGTGTTGCACAAACTTTGGGCATTGCACTTCCTGCAGCAAAGAAGCCAGTGTGCTGGTGCATGGGGCGGACGGGACAGACACGACACTGCTGGTCACGGCGTTAGCCCAGGTGATCCTGGATCCGTCCTGCCGCACACTCACAGGCTTCCAGGGGCTGCTGGAGAGGGAGTGGATCCAGGTGAGAGTGGCAGTCCCCAGGGGGGTAAGGATCTCAGCACCGCCAAACTTTCTTTCACCCCATTGTTCCCTGTCGGGGTCGCACAGGCCGGGCATCCCTTCCACCTCCGTTGTGCCCGCTCTGCCTCCTCCCATGCCCGGCTGAAGCAGGAGGCGCCACTTTTCCTTCTCTTCCTTGACTGCGTGTGGCAGCTGAGCCACCAGTTCCCCTTCTCCCTGGAGTTCAGCGAGCGCCTCCTCCTGACCCTGTTTGACAATGCCTATGCCTCTGCCTACGGCATCTTCCTGTGCAACAACGAGAAGGAGAGGCAAGTAGAGAGGACAGCATTATCCCTTGGGAGCAATGCCAGAGTCACCCTTGAGACAAAGCAAAGCTCTCTCGGTCAGAGCTGGGGTCACGTGAGGACCAACAACCCCTTGCAGGGGTTGAAGTGCATCTTGTCTCTCCCATAGGTGCCTGTGTAAAGTGAAGGAGAGTACACACTCTCTCTGGGCCTGGCTGAACCAGCCTGGAGAGAAGAGGAAGTACCTGAACCCTCTCTACTCACCCAATGCCCTGGTCATCTGGCCCTCCGTGGAGCCGCAGAGCATCCACCTCTGGCAGGGTGAGCTGGACTGCATGAGGGAAAGCGGCTCTGCTTTTCATAGTATCCCAGCTTGGTTTGGGTTGGAAGGGACCTCAAAGCTCGTCCAGTTCCAACCCCTCTCATGGGCAGGGACCCCTTCCACTGGAGCAGCTTGCTCCAAACACCTGTGTCCAACCTGGCCTTGAGCACTGGCCAGGGATGGGGCAGCCACAGCTTCTCTGGGGACCCTGTGCCAGCGCCTCAGCACCCTCACAGGGAAGAGCTTCTGCCTAAGAGCTCAGCTCAGTCTCCCCTCGGGCAGGTTCAAGCCATTCCCCTTGGCCTGTCCCTACAGGCCCTTGTCCCAAGCCCCTCTCCAGGATTCTTGTAGCCCCTTTAGGCACTGGGAGCTGCTCTAAGGTCTCCCTGGAGTCTTCACAGCTGGAATAACCACAGCCCCTTCCTCCTAGGTTTATTCTTCCGATGGATCCGTTCATCCCAGCACCTGGACGAGGCCTGGGGGGAGATCCAGCGGTTAGCAGAGTGTCACAACCCCCCCCAGGAAGGAGAGCACAGGGAATAGACTGAGCCAGGCCCTCTCTGACCCCCTTGCCCAGACAGAGAATGGAAGATGAACAGTAGCAGGGACAATTTGGTCCCTGTGGATGGCTGGGCCAAGGTGAGCCAAACTTGTAACACCCTTTCCACAAAGGGCTGCAGCTTGAGTGTTGCGTCAGTCACTCCAAGCTAGCAGCCAGACAGGGATATCTGCCCTTTAACCCAGTTCTGAGGAAGGAAAGAGATACAAAGCACCCTCCAGACAGAGAGACACCAGGCTAGAGGCCTGGAAGGATGAGGATCCACAACACAAGCATGCTAGTGCAGGAAATAACTGTTCCCTGTGGAAAGTTTGGCTCAGGGTCAGTGCAGCAAATAAACAAAGCACTGGAACTGGGCGCGTGTGTGTCATCTGGAAAACAACACCTGGCTGCAGCACTTCCAGCCTGTTCACACATCAGGCCTGGACACGACCCTGGGCTCTGGATCCTCCCTGGGAAGTGTCCCTGTCTACCCAGGGGTGGAGAGCCCAGCACCCAACAGCTCAGGTTAATTGTATTGCAGACTGGGAAAAAAGCTCAAACCCCCCACAGGTGATTTTCCTTGTGTTTATAGAAGATTTCTGGTTATTTCCTAATGATGTTTTTCTTCCTCTCCTGATATATAACTATGCCCAGTGTCCCTGGGGAGCTGACCTCCCCTCCTTGGCTGTCAAAGCCAGTCCTTCCCTTCCAAGCTGGTTGGGTTTCCAGTTCTCCACACTGAGTTGCTACTGTGTCCTCTGGTGAGACCTTGCAGTAGTTCAGTGCAGGAGCTGACGGACTGGGCAATGGGCTGGAGGGAAGAGCAGTGGAGAGGAGAATCCTCCTTTAGGCTTCAAATTCAAACTCAAAGTACTGGGGATCGAAGTAATGGATGCGAACGTAGCCATCCTCACCCCCGCTGCTGTAACTGTACAGGAGGAGAGACAGAATAAAGTCATTGATGCTGTCAAAGAGCACTGCCTCTAGGTTTAAACCAAACTGTGGTGAAATCTGTTCTCACCCCTCCCCCCACCCCAAAATGAACAAAGTAGTCACAAGACAAAAAAATAAGATAAGTGACAGAGCAAAAATGTGTCACAGGAGTAAGTGACCCCTTGGCCAGCCTGGGGGAGGCAGCAGGGCTGAAACGGGATCACCAAGGAAGGTGCTTGCTCTGCTCCCACCAGAGCTACTGTGAGCCCAACTGTGCCCTAACCACATCATGTGTTTGGCTTCACTGCAGCATGCTGCAAGACCCAGAGACACTCACCTCTTCCCGTCAGGGTGAAACGCAACACTGTTTATGGGACCAAAGTGACCCTTCACTCTGCCAAACTCTTCTTCAAAAGCCAAGTGGAAGAACCTGGAAGAAGGAAGATGATTTATTATTACATTGGCTATTAACAGAAGTTGGGAGCAGGGTCAAGGACATAATTAGGGTTTCCTCAATAAAGCTCTGCAAGTTTAATGATTTCTCTGACACTGGCAGCAGTAAGACACCTTGGGAGCAGCACCCCTGGGCTGTCAGTGCTCCAGGTGAGGACTTGGCCTTGCCAGAAGAAAAGGACCAACCTCGCCTCGAACTTGCCAATCCTGGTGGAGGTTGTGGTCACATCCATGGCCTCCTGCCCGCCACCAAGCACCACCTGCAAAGGAGAGAAGCCACAACACTTCAGAGGTGCTTACACGGTACACTCTGAGGCAGGCAGAGGAGGACAGAGCCAAACCTTGGGGAAGCCTTCACTAACCCACAAACTCACAAGTGGGCCTGACCCCAACCCCAGAGTTCTCACCTCCCAGACATGCTTGTTGAGGAGCAGAGGCTTCATTCGCTGCACCAAACCGCAGCAAAGTTCCCCAGACCCATTCCACAGTTGTGTTTTTTATCTGGCCTAGTGACACTATGTCTTCCAGTTACCCAGGATGACATGGCAGTCACAGTAAGCCCGTTACAATGAGTGAGATCATTCTTACATGGTCAAAAATAGGGGAAAGTGCAGCAGAGTTCACTGGTCGTTCTGTCCGGAACGTCTTCAGATGCTCAAGTGACGTGCAATCAAAGAGCTAGGAACAAAAAGGAGAGAGTTATTCTTCAAGAGAGTTGGCAGCCTGCAGGTCTTGCATGCCAATCTCAAGAATCTACCCCATTTCTGAAAGGAGGCCTCACCTTGGCTGTGTTGTCCTTGGAGGCAGTGATGAACATGGTCATGTCCCTGGAGGTCTGAATATCATTGATTTGCTTGGTGTGCTCCTTGATGTTTGAAAGCTGCTCCCCTGACTAAAGGGTAGAGGAGGCAGTTTTAGCAAAGCAAGTGAGCACACACACAAGTTCCCTGTTAAAAACTGGTTAGGAGATGTTGTTGCCAACAATGGGTCAGGTGTTGGTGCATTGGCCTTGGTCAAGGGAGCCTCGTATTTGGACCTACAGGATATTTAAGGTCCTTTCCACCCCAAACCATTCTATGAATCTAAGATATTTTAAGTATCATTCCATAAGGCTGCTGCATTGAGCCAAAAAGCCCATATTCTGTCTCATGATCACCATGCGAACACTGACATCTTCTCCAGGGAGGGAGGATGCTGTTTCTTATCAGACTGACCTTGGCACTGAACTGGTTAAGCTCGCCGCTCTCATGTCCCGCGATGATGAACTCTCCCAGAGGGCCCCACACAGCACTAGTGATTTTAGAGTCACTGCAGGGGATTTTCATGTAAGGCTCATTGTTCTCTGCAGGAAGGAAGGAGACAGACAGAGAGACACAATGGCCACTGACTCCAGTGATCAACTTCCCCTTATTCCCTTATCCAGGCATTGGCCCGGATTCCTCACCAATCTGGCTGTGGTCCCGGAGATCAAAAAAGCTCACAAAACACTGATATCCCATCTGCTTGTCTGTGGAAAACATGATGATGTTTCCTCCAAAGTCAAAGCCACATGTCCTCACTGCAGAGCTGGTCTTCACCAGGGCGAGCTGCTTTCCTGCACACAGAGCAGAAACTGTCACTTCACCAGATATTTTATTGCAAGGCTAATGGAATGGATCAGCTTATGCCCTCCTGCCACCACATCTTCTCACCTTAGCAGAATTCACTGCAGGACAGAGCTGTGCCTCAAATGTAGCTCTGATGGAAATGGGAGAGTCTCTTACCTGTTTCGCAGTCCCAGAGCCGACAGCTGTTATCTGCAGAGCCAGTGAGCACATGTCGTGTGTCCCCTGAGTCACCAGTTAGGGAATACCAGCGTGTTCTCAGCCATTTCCAACTCCCTACCACAGGCAGGGACCCCTTCCACTAGAGCAGCTTGCTCCAAGCCCCTGTGTCCAACCTGGCCTTGAGCACTGGCCAGGGATGGGGCAGCCACAGCTTCTCTGGGCACCCTGTGCCAGCACCTCAGCACCCTCACAGGGAAGAGCTTATGCCTAAGAGCTCAGCTCAGTCTCCCCTCGGGCAGGTTCAAGCCATTCCCCTTGGCCTGTCCCTACAGGTGCTTGTCCAAAGCCCCTCTCCAGGCTTCCTGTAGCCCCTTTAGGCACTGGAGCTGCTCTAAGGTCTCCTCTTCAGGAGCCTTCTCTTATTCAGGCTGAACCAGCCCAGCTCTCTCCATGTGGCTCCAGAGCAGAGCTGCTCCAGCCCTCTGAAACTGGCAAATTTCCTTTCGAAATGCTAAAGAAAGAGTCTCCAGCTCTTGCATTAACACTGCCTCTGCAGGTCTCATCACAGACATGTTATTCCACACAACCCTGAGAGAAAAATACCCAAAACATTAAGTAGTTAGAAAAGTTAAAGACAAAGTATTACCCTTCTCTAAGAGGAAACAGTGCAGCAGTTTGGAGGAATTGCCTCAACTGAATCATCATAAAGAAAAATACAGGACAAACTGGTTGCTGTGATCAAAGGATACAGTCTGCATCCACACACCATACAGCTCCTGTGTGACCATTGTATGTGCCGAGCCGCTCCCCATTCACCGAATACCACACGTTGACAATCTGGGGGAAGAAAACAACACAGCACCCTCCTAACAAACGGATTAATTACCGGAAACAATGAACAGCGGGTCAGTTATTGCCGAAGGGGCTGGTTTCCACTCGGAGAAAGGCAGACAGGCCTCCCCCACACTCACGGGGTCCTTGGCTACGGTGAAGAGCAGGTCTCCCTCCCGGTTGTACTTGATCTGCGTGATGGAGCGCTCATGGCCCTGCAGCAGGATCGGCTTCTGTGGGGCGGGGCGGGGAGACGCCATTAACATCTCGGCGACGGGCGGCCCAGGCCTCCTGGGCCTGCAGGCCACCACCCGTACCCCATCCCGCGGCCTGGGGGCCCGAGCCCGCCCGACCACCGACCGCTGTCCCCGGCCCTGGCCGACCACCACCTCCTACCCCCAGTTCCTCTCTCACCATGGCGGCACCGCAAGGACGGCCGACCTGACTTCCGGGCCACAGGCTGCGAGAAGCAGAAGTACGTAGCCGTTACCATGGCTCCCTACGAGTGATTGACGGGCGTCTCAGCCAATGGCAATCGGGGGTGGGGGGCAAACCTGAGCGGAAGTGGGGAACCGCTGGGAATGAATGACGGGCACCATAGCCAATGGCGACCGCGGGGGGGGCGGTGGCAGAACACACCAGAAGAGGTGGTGGGGCTACGAGTGATTGACAGGCCTCTCAGCCAATGGCGGTCGCGGAAGGTGGAGGCAAACATCAGCGGAAGTGGGGCGGGTCTGGAGTGATTGACAGGAACCACAGCCAATGGCGGCCGCGGGTTGCGTGCGAGCTGCTTCCGGTGCCGCTCTGCGGCTCGTCCACCAGCAGTACCGAGTTCCGGCCACACGATGGCAGCAGCTAGGGTTGTACTGAGACGGTCTTCCCCGCCCCCAGCGAGAGGAACCGTTTCGGTTACGGTAAGCAAGCACAGTGATTAGAGCATGAACGTCTGGCTTCTGCTCCAACAGCCGAAGAACCACGAAGGAAAATTGGTGCTGGAAATGTTCTGCACACAGTCAGCTTTGTATTGGTGCCACCATCATTGCTGCCGCTCCTCGATTTCATACCTAAAAGTCCATTTCAATGCAACCTTTCTGGTGGTGCCTCCATGCTACCCAGCAGCAGTAGCTAACCGCCCCCGAGCATGCGCAGTAGCGTCCCGGGTCCGCGCATGCGCAGTAGGGTCCCGGGTCCCAGGAGGGCGGGGCCACAGTCAGTGACACTCCTTTGCAAGGAATGTAGGTAGGGCTAGCGTGGGTGTGAGGGGCGTGGCCAGGGTCACCACCCAAGTTGGCTGCAGTGCGCATGATCACACCCTAGGGTGGGGGGAGTTGCTGGGAGGTCTGCATCAGGCCTGAGGTGCAACGATGGGGGCCTCTGCACACACTCCCAGGCCTAGCCCTACCCCACAGCAGACCCCACCCACCCCCTCCCCCTTTCTTAGACCACACCTCCACACCTCGCTAGCCCCAACCCCAGCCCAGAGCACACCCGGACCAGAGTCCACACCCCTTCTCAGACCTTGGGCTAGCCCAACACAGGCCTCCTCACCTCCTGCCCCCCACCCCTTAGCCACTCCCACAGCAAAGACCACACACTTCCACCTTTATTACCCCCACACCCAGCCCACCC